GTTTTAAAAGTTGCAGCTGGGTCCTCAATATTCGGACCGATCCCGGTCCGTATATATTTGTGATGCCTCTTTCCACCACAGTTACAGACCGTTGTTGGTTCGTATATATATTATTATTTTATTATATTAATTTTTTGGGACCAATTTCGGTCCGCTTATTTCAATTTCTCAATAATTATTTATATTTCTTACTGAAATATCCGGACCGATTTCGGTCCGGATAGTATATATATACGGACCGATTATACGTCGGTCTGTATATTATACTTATTCGTACCAGGTTTTTTCAGATCAACTATAAGGACCAATATTGGTCCGTATATATATGTTCAGACCGATTGGTAATATATCCGGATCGATTGTTTGGTTTGAATATACCATTCCTGCAGTAGTGAGGAGGAAGAAGAAAGAGAAAGAAAGAGGGGGAAGAAAACAGGTGGAAAGGTTTTTTTTTATTTTTTTATTAAAAATATAAAAATTTATCTCCACGTCATCATTTTTTTCCAGTTGGATTATCCATATCATTAAAAAAAAGATAAAAAAATGCCATATAGGTGAAGTTAACGGCTCAAATAGATGGAAAGACTAACGTTGTTCATTTCTTAAAGTTGAGGGATCAAAAAAAGTGTAAAAAATTGTTGAGGGACCAAAAAAGTACAACTTAATAAAATTAAGAGACCAAATTTAACATTTAACCATCTATTTAACAATTTAAGGCTTTTTTTTTTTTTTTTATTTCCTCTCTCTTTTCTCTCGTCCTATCTCATTTGACCATCTCTGCTGCTTCTCCTTTCTTCATGCTGACACTACAACTAATCTCCTTTTCCTTTCATTTTTTTTTTATTTCCTGTGATTTATTGCTCCTAAATCCTATTTCAAGGGGATGACAGTGCCATTGGTGTTGGGTATTGAGATTGGATCTACTTATTACTTCTCTTCCAATTTCTTTCAATTTTATTATTATTATTATTATTAGTTTGTTGCATCTCCAAATTTTTTTTTTTAGTATGCTATTAAGAGCATGTTTGATGAAATTTGTATGTGTTTTAATTTTTTATATTATTTATGTTTTATAAGTTAAATTTTTTTTTTGAAGAAAACTTATATTTTTTAAGATCTTTTTAAAATTAAAAAGACCTTAAATAATAAATTTTGAAAAAATTTAAACTTAAATTTTTTATAAAATTTCTTTTTACTTATTTTTACTCACTTTTTATTATTTTTAATAATAATTTAAACTTATAACTTATAAATAATATTAAAAAAATAAAAACTTAAAAAAACACCACCAAATAGACGCTAAAACTCCACCGGAATAAAATTGAAGCATCTGTTGACAGTCGAAAGGCGAAAAAGTAGATATTAAAAAAATGAGGAAAACTCAATATTTGGGCTAATACCAAAGCCGTTTGAAAATTTTGAAACCAAAATATACCTGTAACCGTAGAAACTAATCTTTCTAATTCGATATTTGGTGGTGCATATTGCGTAACCAATATTTTGGTTAATCACCTAATCAGTCTTGGCTCAGACCGAAATCAACTAAATCCCACCCCTAGCTCTTACACAAGAAATATCCCACAACCTAGCTTAGTACACTCCCCAGGATTTGCTACCCTCGGTTTTCTATAATGTCTTCTTAATTATCTTTTGTATATTTAAAAATACCTATTATATTAAAAATATACTATTGTTAAATAATTTATGGTGGGTACTTCATATTTCTCATCTTTCGTCTCCTCACTTTTCTACACAATTACGTACTAATTAATGATGAGATAATTAATGATGAGATATCTCTCTACATTTTTATGGATTTACATGATGATTAATTGTTATTTAACGAGTGATATGTTCTTATAATTCTTATAATTCTTCTAGTCTATATATAGAATTTGTAATTTGTGTGAAAATTACATGATGAAAAACATTATAAAATGAAAATTTTCATGATTTTTCTATCTCCTTTTGTATCTTTAATTGTTTGTGTTTCTTCTTTTACCTGTTTCTTTGTATATTTTATAACACGTTATTAATACTAATTGTTTATATATGATCTGTTTTTAAGATTCCATTTGAGGTTATGAAAAAATTAAGGTAAAATTTTAAGGTAATTTTATTCTTCAATTTCTTAATTTTAGTTTGAATATTTTTTTCATATTATAATAATTCTCCTATTCATATTTTATTTTACACTTATAACAAAATATGAGTTCATTATTTTTAATAAATTAGACTTATTTATCATCATTTTCAGACGTGAAAAATTATTTTGCTACAACAAATCTTAAAAGACTCGATTTTAGAAGAAAATATGCCCATAAAAAAATTACAGAAGAAAATAAAACGATCCTTAAAAAAATTAAAACATTAAAAGAAAAAAATGGGGCATCCTTAAAAGTAGCGACCCTAGCGACCCGTTTGACCACCCCGCATCGTCGCCATGAAGAACAAATATAAATTTAGAATTGTTAAACCTTTAATTTGGTATTTAAATTATTGTAAAGACTTTTAATTTAATTTTTATTATTTATTGATTTAACTGTAAGTTGGTTATTTCATATAAAAAATAATTAACGTATTTATTATTTAATAATAAAAATCAGTTACTTAACGGTTACATATTACATTAATAATGAAACACGTTAATTATTTTTTGTATAAAATGATCAACTTGAGATAAATTAATAAATAATAAAAACCAAATTCAGGTTTGTACAATAGTTCAAGGACCAAATTAAAGATTTAACTTTTTAGAATATGAAGATCAAATCGAGTCCTTAAAATTGAGTAAGTTGAGTTTGTACTTTTTAAAGATAGAGAAAAATATACGCCAACTTTAATTTTTTAAAAATAATTAAATTTTAATTTTAAATTATATCATTTTATTTAATTAAAATTTAATTTAAAATTTAAAAAATTATTTTATTAAATACTAATATATTAAAATATATAATGAATTTTTAAATTTAAATATTAATATGTAATATGATAAAATTTTAATTTTTAAATATTAATAAAATTTTAATTATTTTCAAAATTTAAAATTAATACTCACTAATTTTTTATAAATATTTATAATTAATTAACTTTTTAGATCTGGTACAACAAAAAATGACTTTCTAGTCTGCTGATTAACATGTGCGCTCCCTCTTGTTCGGGTGGTGTTATTGCCACAGCCTTTTTTAGTTATTTGACTATTATACCCCTCATTTTGAATTCAACTTGCAGCAGTCATCACCTTC